TGTGTGTGTGTCTGTGTGTGTGTGTCTGTGTGTGTGTGTCTGTGTGTTCTGAGTGTTGTGTGTATATGTGTCTGTGTGTGTTGTGTGTGTTGTGCTGTGTGTAAACCACACATAGACATCAGGTGTTTTCCTCTGTCTCTTTCCACCTTGTATTTTGAGACAGCACTGACTTGGCTGGGCTAGCTGGCCAGCAAGCCCCAAGGATCTGCCAGTCTCCTGTGTACCACCACACCCAGCTTTTTTTATATGTGTTTATAGTAAGTAAACAAGGTCCTCATGTTTTCAAGACAAACCTTGCCAAGGGAGCAGCCTTCCATCCACCTTCTGTGCTCCAGTAACTCACTGTCTCAAGCTAACTGCCTTCACCTCACACACCCGCTTCCAGACTCTTGCTCAAACCTGTCCCTTCCTTTGAGGAGCTCAGCTCCACTGTGAGACTGATTGGCTAGTTGAGTACATTTTTGAGTCAAATATTTGAGTTTCTATCTTTCCAGCACAGTGAGAGGCTTTGGCCATGCAAGAATTAGATGCATTTACTGTCCTTATGAAGATCACAATTTAAAAGTTAAAACAGATGAAATCCTAAGTCAAAAAAATAAAGTAACCAATTGAGTGTTACATTTTCTCATCTCTTAGTCACAGATGAATGAGTCCTAAATTTCCACGCCAGCAGAAGAGAATAAATCTACTCTGCATGATCAATTCATAAATAATGCCAGAATGCTTATTTATAACAGACAACTTGTCTCTTAAATTTCTTACACATTGCTCCAACATATACTCTTTAAGGAAACTCTAGTTACCATTTGACAATTGCTCACCAGTAGATGGGGCCTACTGGTAGGGATTGGGTGGATAAGGAATCACTCCTCACAATAAAATTGGCACTTTGAATTCAAGAGGCATTCAAATGAGTGTCGGGGGGTGTTAGGTATTTTCATAGTTAGATATATCCTATAACATAGGGAAGTGATACATAAATTTATGTAGCACCTGGAGCTTAGATTATTTACAGTCTATATCTGTTAGACACATTAAAGCTAACCTTAGAGGTACCAAAACATGTTTGTTACGTTAATGGAAAAAAATTCAACACTCAACATATGGATTGATTTGACCAAAAGCAAACTCATGTCTGAATTCTCCTCTTTCTGCCCTGTGTCTTCTGTCTATCTGTAGTTTGTGGTTTGGGGCTTGTCTTTGGTTTGCTGTTGTATGAATTTTATGGTCTGCACCTTCGGGGTTCAGAGTCACAAAGCTTGAATTCGCAGATTCCAAAACGTTCTCTCCTGTAGGCTTAACTAGAGAGTCTCTGGCTAGGCGCAATCTGTGCGTGCTTCATGGTTGAGCAATCGAGCTTCTGACTCGTTGTTTCGTCCAGTTATCTCCGTGACCAATCACATTAACAGTAACCGTGCTGTAGAAGCATCCTCCTGCCTCTTGCAGTGACTGGAAGTGCCATTTCCCCAATCTACTGGAGGGAGGGTACAAACTTTCTTCTGGTTAGACTTTTTTTAATTCTAGGGGGATATCTCATTATCAAGATTTAAAGTGTAAATAATAGTAATAGCAGTCATTTATTATTTTCCAGTTAGATTGTCATGGAGATGCATTATTATGAAAATAGACCTTATTTCTAAGAGACTGGAACTTTTGTTGAACCATATAGCCAGGTTACTAATGCACCTTAAGATGTCTTAAGACGTATCCTGATGTCTTGCTGTGCACTAAGCCTGATTTCTAACCAACTTTAAGAGAATAACATAACAGCCAACCCTACTCGCCTTGGATTTCCCATGTATCAGTCACAACATAAGTTAGTACATATCTGTAATTTTAAATTATGTACTATGCCACTCTCCTGCCACAAAGAGCAATGCATGCATGTATTCATGTTATGGTAGTCAATCCTGAAAACATCAAACGGGTGTAAAGAGATCTTATACACAAACATCTACCATAAATATTGTGTACAACATACATATATAACTTGAAAATGCTATGTGTTTAAAACTGAGTGCTTTGGGGTCAGCTAGAGTCAGTGACTTAATCTTTGTAAAACTCTGTTAAAATTTTATGTAAAGTAGCCCTCATTTCTATCTCATGTGATGCTATAATGTTCAATAAGTACAGAGCAAAACCCTTTGTTAGGGACACACAGCAAGAGACAGTAAGTCACCAAACAGGTACAGGTAGGTACAGACACAAGGACAGATTCAGATTCAGCAATAGACAGAATAATGACAACCCCCAAACCTCAAACTATGACAGACAGACAAACAGAAGACACAGGAAAAGCAGAAAATTCAAACTTGAGTTTGCTTTGGTCAAATTAATCCAAGGGTAAGTGTGAATATTCTTTCCTCTATGTGATACCAACATATTTTAATACCTCTGAGGATATTTCTAATGCATTTAACCAATGTGGATTGTAAGTAATCTAAGCCCTAGGGGGCCATGCAAATGTAGGTCTCTTGTCTATTCATAGTTCACAGGATAATGCTGTGAAAATATTGTCATTCTTCAGCACACATACTAACTCCTGTTCTACTCCTGGCTCAGCAAGTACAGTATCTCTTTCAGACACAAAATGTCCCAGGACATTCTAACTAATATACACTGAACGTAAAAGTCTCATGGAGATGGAATCAGTGTGCAGATTGGAGTCTAACAGCCAGAAACTGTGGCAGAAGAATGAATATTTGAAACATTATCAGCAAGAGAAAAAGATGGTCACAGGGGTTTCTGAGGGTTAAAATGGGCCATTCCTGAAGACTAGGAGTTTAACAGCAGTGCAGGGGACTTCCTTCATGTCTAGATACATTAGGAAAATGACAATTACAAAAAACAGAATGGGGCTGAGTAGCTGGCTCGGTGCTGAAAGTGCTTGCTCTGCAAGCTTGAGGGCCAGCATTTGGATCTGCAGAAACCCAGCTAAAACCCAGGTTGCCATGGCCACCACCTGTAATTCCAGCTTCAGAAGGCAGAGACAGGGAATCCACAGTGTTAGCTTGCTAGCAAGGTTGGCCACATGGTTAAAAGCTGGGCTTAATGAAGAGACCTTCCCTCAGGAATAATGTAGGAGAGCAATCGAGGATGAATCTGGACAGACACCAACTTGTTACACATACTAGCACACACCCATACACATGCAAAATATTCACAGTACACACACGAAAAAATGGAAAAAGAAAAAAATTTGTACAGAGAACTGAAAACTACAGTAGCTAAACTCAAGTGAACTAATGGATTGAATTGGTTTTGCACACCCAAGAATAAACGGCGAACATTGGAAAGCAGCCCAGGAAGAAATTCCCACTTAGGCAAATGAACACAAAATATTAGAACAACAACAAAAACACATGTGAGAGTCAGAAAACACAATTTTAAAAAGAAGGGATTTAATATATACTTAATTAGCGTTCAAAAGGAGACAAAAAAATATATAAGTTGAGAAAATACCAAAGTGCTGGGCAGAGGTAGTGTACGCCTTTAATCCCAGCACTTGGGAGGCAGAAGCAGGCAGATTTCTGAGTTCAAGGCCAGCCTGGTCTACAGAGTGAGTTCCAGGACAGCCAGGGCTATAAAGAGAAACCCTGTCTCTGAAAACTAAAAAAAGAAAAAAGAAAGAAAGTATCAAAGAAAATAGTAACAATGGAGGAAAAACACAATATGCTATATTTCAAAAGACATTTGCAAAAGAGATGAGAAATGTCTATCTTACTTCACAAGACTTATACTATTAAACTCCAAAATCAAGGAGAATAACTTTGAGGAGTTCAGAGATTCAGGCATACTACCTTCAAAGAGGACAGAAAAACAGGAGTAAGAAAGGTCCACGGAGCACGAAAAATACTGGAAACACTTTTGCATGATGGCTTGAAAGTGCAGAGCAAAAATAAATGTCACTCCATAAAGAATCGTTTTTTAAAAAATCAAAAAAATCGGTAGGATGAAATAAAAACATTTTCAGAAAATGAGATAATTCAAAATAAGACAACTCATAAAGCTTCTAAGAGATGTTAGTTGGACACACATATATGTAATCATTTCAAGAACTGAAGAGTTGGCTCTG